TCTACTAAAAAAAAATTTTTTTAATTAGCCACTCATGGTGGTGCATGCCTGGTGACCCAGCTGCTCGGGAGGCTGAGGCGGGAGGATTGCATAAGCCCAGCAGATTGAAGCTGCAGTGAGCCATCATCATGCCACTGCACTCCAACCTGGGTGACAGGGCGAGACCCTGTCTCAAAAAAAAAAAAAAAAGTAATTGAAAAAGCCCCACAAAGACACTAGTCAAATGCAGTAGTGAGAAGAAGGGAAGAGTAGAATAAGGAGTTGGATGCGTAACTGACTGTGAACAGTCAATTGAGTTAATGCCAGGCCTTCAGACCAGTCCCACCCAGTTTCTTAACTTCTGAACCCTCAGTCGACATCAGCATGATGTCAGTGCCCAAACAAAATTCTTGAGCCAAGAAAAGATTTTGCAGCATTCACTTTAGCAAGAAGAACAACAGGGTTAGATTATGAACTGCGTTGATAAGCATAAATCTGCTAGAGATGTTAGAATTTTAAAAATATTTTTCTTCAGTTTGTAGGACTGAGTTTCTAAAACTTGTGTTCAAGCCTACAAAAAAAAAAAACTATATGAACTCTTGTGTACTCATCAGCTAGCTTCAAAATTTTGTATGATGTTTTTAGTCTAATTAATTTTAAAAAGAGTCAGCTCTGGGCCGGGCGCGGTGGCTCAAGCCTGTAATCCCAGCACTTTGGCAGGCCGAGGCAGGTGGATCAAGAGGTCAAGAGATCGAGACCATCCTGGTCAACATGGTGAAACCCCGTCTCTACTAAAAATACAAAACATTAGCTGGGCATGGTGGCGTGTGCCTGTAATCTCAGCTACTCAGGAGGTTGAGGCAGGAGAATTGCCTGAACCCAGGAGGTGGAGGTTGCAGCGAGGCAAGATCGCGCCATTGCACTCCAGCCTGGGTAACAAGAGCGAAACTCCGTCTCAAAAAAAAAAAAAAAAGAGTCAGCTCTGTTGCCCAGGCTGCAGTGCCGTGGGGCGATCTCAGCTCACCGCAACCTCCATTTTCTGAGTTCAAGCGATCCTCCTGTCTCAGCTGGGCTTACAAGTGCCTGACACCACACCCACCTAATTTTTGTATTTTTACTAGAGACAGGGTTTCAGTTACACCATGTTGGCCAGGCTGGTCTCAAACTCCAGACCTCAAGTGACCCTCCAGCCTTGGCCTCCCAAAGTGCTGGGATTACAGGCAGGAGCCACCACACCCATATAAGCTAATTAAAATTTTTAGTAATAAGCCCATCTGTTTAATGGGAAGTTCTATTTTTATAGAAAGCATTTGAGTGGGAAAATGTGTTATTACATCAACCATTCCATTATCTCTCTTCGAATATAGTCTACTTGAATCACAAGACCAAATTGCCTAAAAAGAAATAAGGAACCTTGGGTTGTATAAAAACTCAAGCTGTCTTGAAGCTCAGTCCTTTGGTTTCTTGGGAGGGAGAGCTGCTCAGGCCAGGACATTAGCATCTGAGGCCTTCCATTTAACGTATTTAAATGCAGATTCCAGAGCAGCCCTCAGACACTTGGTTTTGGTACCTCTTGGTACATCGGAGAGGTGCCCAGGAATCTGCATGTCTGATAGGCTCCCCAAGTTGACTGGAACAGATCCCCCGTTGACCACACTTTGGAAAATAGTTCTGTCTCACAATCCCAGACCTGTAAAGTGATAATGAAGTTAATCATGGTAATTTAAGTCACAGAGCACTCCCAACTAGCAAATTCAGCTGGGTTCGTTACTTTACTTATGATTTTTTTTTTTTTTTTTTTTGAGGCAGGATCTCACTCTGTCACTTGGACTGGAGTGCAGTGGTACAATCTTAGCTCACTGCAACCTCCATCTGCCAGGCTCAAGTTATCCTCCCACCTCAGCCTCTCAAGTAGCTGGGACTGCAGGCGTGCACCAACACACCCGGCTAAATCTTGTATTTTTTGTAGAGACAGTGTTTTGCCATGTTGCCCAGGCTGGTTTTGATCTCCTAAGCTCATGTGATCAGCCCACCCTGGCCTCCGAAAGTGCTGGAATTACAGGCATGAGCTACCATGCCCGGCCAGTTAACAATTGCTAATCACCAGAGACAAAAAGGGAAAGGTCAATTTTCTGTAGCAGTGTTTTGTTTTGTTTTGTTTTGTTTTTTGAGGTGGAGTTTCACTCCTGTTGCCCAGGCTGGAGTACAGTGGCACAATCTTGGCTCACCGCAATCTCTACCTCCCGGGTTCAAGCGATTCTCCTGCCTCAGCCTCCTGAGTAGCTGGGATTATAGGCATGTGCCCCCATGCCTGGATAATTTTGTATTTTTAGTAGAGACAGGGTTTCTCCATGTTGGTTAGGCTGGTCTCGAACTCCTGCCCTCAGGTGATCCACCCGTCTCGGCCTCCCAAAGTGCTGGGATTACAGGCATGACCCACCATGCCCGGCCTTGTAGCAGCATTTTTAATATCTTTGTGACTTCAGAAATGCTGGTGGGCTGATTGCTGAGTGTGCGGGGGGATTCTGTGCCCCCTCAGTGCCAGCCTCTGAAGCCCTGGCACTTGCTTCTCAGTATGTGGCGTCAGCTGTTTCTCTAGAGATGGTGGTTTTCATGCTGGAAGTTATTACTTCCTGCTGGGACGTGAGTTCACTTAAGTACTGTGTTGTTTAAGTGCTTCTTGTGATCTTTGACCTCTAAGTTCATACATGCATCTCTGTGCATTAGACGCAGTGGAGTTTTTTCCTTTTGGAAAAGCTGTGCTTCCTGAGAACTAGAGGAAAACTGTTTTCTTGAGGGCATGGGGGGAGGTACAGGGTGGATTGTGACCCAAGTACAGTCCTGGTGCTCTCAATGATGGCAGAGACTGTGTCTTACACACCTTTGAGTCCCCCAGTGCATCCTGCACATGGTCTGGCCCCTTGTCCTAGTGCCAGTGAAGGGATGCTAGTGTGGAAGAGAGCTGCTAGCTCATAGGGAACAAGGTTGGATTCTTGTGGGTTTGGTCTGCATGGAGGGTGGTGGCGGTGGTGGGGAGGGGCTGTTCTCCCTGACGGCCACCGGGGCCCTCTGCCAGATACCGGACAGAAAGTAGTGTCTGTGGGCCCAGCCAAGTGGAGGGATTCCAGGAGCTTTCAGCTCTGCGGAGCTTTGTGAGAGGGACAATGAGTTCCTTCCTGTCCCTGAAAGGCCTAATAATGGGATGGACAAGCCCTGGGGCCTGGCTTCTTTAAAGAAGTAGGCTTGATTACAACATAGATCTAGCCCCACAATGTGTGCTTCTGAGTTGCTGGGTAGGGGAACAGCTGAGCTCCATGGACAGGCCAGAGCTCCATGCCCCTGTCCACCCACACACACACAGTCGGCAGACCTGTCTGTTCCCTTCCTTGTTCCTTCAGCTCATGGTTCCCCAGCCCTGCTCTTGTTCATTTGTTGCCCATGTGCACTCTCCTTTTCTCTTTCTCCTTCTCCCTGGCCTTCCTCCCTTCCTCTCCTTGTTCCCAAGAGCTATCTTCATGTCTTGAAGTTCTGCCCTTTGATTTCTTGGGAGGGAGAGGATGCCCAGGCCAGGACATCAGGCAGCCATCCTGGGAAATAGGGTAGGAATCTTGGAAACTGGAGGAGTTGGGAGAGGGCTTCCCTGGAACAGTAACATTAATACCCAGTGTCTTGATATGCCTTGAGCTCTAGTCAAGGAGGTAGCTCCTCTCCACTAGGGAGGACCAGCCATCTGGTGTTCATGCCTTACAGAAGAACCGCGTGGCCCATCCTGTTGGCCTTCTCTGATGGGCCTCATCTTGCCAGCACCTCCACCTAAGCAATGTCCGTTTATGCTCGTGTTGGGAGACACTTCTTCCCACAGAGTTCTGAAGGACTTGCTATGAAGTAATAAAGTTTAATCAGTTACATCAGTTCATGTCAGGGCCAGGTACCAGTCTTTAACTGCTATTTCCAAGCTGAGATTGCTGCCTTGGTATCCACACAGGCCTTGCTATTGGTGGGGGGTGGTTTAAGGAACTCAGTGGGATTCCTGCGTTTGCCAAGACCATCTCCTGGTGTTCTTAGACCAGACAGATGACTTTGTGACTGGGTGTTTCTTCCTCCTGGGTTTGGAGCAGCTGGGAGGGGCTCCCATGGGGGGCTCTACGGACAAGGGCAGCGTGGGTTTACACCCAGTGTCAGGGCTTGCGGAAGGGTAGAGTATCCCTGTGAAGACAACTCCACTCTGGTGTGTGGTTTATGGCTTGTGTCAGATAAAGGGGCAGCTACTTTCTTCTTTGGGGACTCCTAGCTTGTCACAGTGGTTCTCAGAGAGCCTGAAAAAGCATTGGTATTTATGTTTTGCTTTCTAAGTTTGTATGCTTTCTTAAAATTGTTGGTGACCTTGGCTAAAAGATATATACATTCTAGGACATCCTTGAAAGAAAAAGAAAAAAGAAAAATAAATAAAAAATAAAGATATATACAAAGAGGACCAGGCGCCGTGGCTCACGCCTGTAATCCCAGCATTTTGGGAGGCTGAGGCGGTCAGATTACTTGAGACCAGGAGTTCGAGACCAGCCTGGCCAACAGGTGAAAACCCATTTCTACTAAAAATACAAAAATTAGCCAGGTGTGGTGGTGCACCCCTGTAAACTCAGCTGCTGGAGAAGCTGAGGCACAAGAATCACTTGAGCCCAGGAGGCGGAGGTTGCAGTGAGCCAAGATCACGCCACTGCATTCCAGCTTGGGAGACAGAGCCAGACTCTGTCTCAAAAAAAACAAACAAATGGACGAAAAATATATATACAAAGAGGCTGGCATGAGTTTTGAATCCGGGTGGACCTCAGGATTGCACCCTTGCCCCACCTGCTGGGCCAGGGATTCTGAATAGCATGTTTTTTCTACCCCCCGCCCCCCACCCCACTCCTGGGTGAAATCTATCAGGAATTAATAGCTTGGGGTGTGAGCCCTAGATTTGCTCCCCTCCAAGGGAGGCCCAGCTGTCATGGCTCACTGGGTGTGCATCTTTGTCCCCGCAGGTGACCTGGAGCTCCCCTCGGTGCTGACATGATGACAGTGTGCAGGCCGGCCAAGGGCAGCCACAGCCAGACTGAAAACCTGAGCTACACACTGGCTGACAAGTAAGAACGCTTCTCCCCTAAGAGTGTAGACGCTGGCCCAGCTCCTTACTCTCCTATGCCTTTCCATCTTCACTGATCCTGCTTCCTTGAGCTAAGGAGCCCTTTTCCAGGTCATTCTAATGAGCTTCCTGCAGACCACCTCCATGCATGGCACTCATTTAAGGCTACAGGCTAAAGGGGTCAAGAGAGACTCTGACTAGTTCCCGGTGTGTGGAAAGGATGATCCCCTGGCGACTTCAGCCCTATCCTCATGGCACATTCCAATCCCGGGATTATTTTTCTAACTACTAGGATGTTCAGGTATTTTAATTATGTTTGAGCCCTAAGTCTTTGCAGCTGTACCTGTCCACAGTCAGTTTTCCCATCTAATATCAGCGTGGTTGTTTCCTTCTCCCCAGATGGAGCCCTTTCTCTGATCCTCTCACATTCCACAAAGCAGTTGGCGGACACTGAGGGGTTCTCAGCTCTGCACCCCAGACCCTTATGGGGCAAGAGAATCCTTATGGCCCTCATGGGGCAGGAGAATCCTGGAAATAGGAACTCTAGAAACTAGCAACCACCCGCCCCCCACCCTGGAGCAGGAACTCTGTCTTTGGGGGCTCATAGAATGGTGGCAGCATCCTTGTCTCTGTTGCTTGAGTTTTGTAAATCCAGCGTGAGCTTTCAGCAAGTCATCCTTTGTTCCATCCGAGTTTTCAGACAGAGCTTCCACGATTACAAAGTCACTCCATGTGTTTAGGCTCTTAGACAACAACTGTGATACTTACAATAACAATGGTTACCATTTATTGATACCAAGATTTATAATGTGTGCCGTACTTTGGGCACATTACATATGTTAACTCATGAATTCATTCATTCATTGAATAAATATTTGTTGACTAGCTGCTATGCACCAGGCATAGCAAACAACGTAAATGTGGCCTCTGACTCATAAAGTTTCAGTCTATAGAAGACAGATGAAAAACTCAGGATTCAAGTCTCAAGTCACTCAATTCCAAAGCCCATGTATTTAGCTACTAGGCAGTAGTGCCTTACAGCACACATAACATTAATAACTGTGTTGTAGATCATCAGTCATCTCCATGCAGGCACTAACCTGGATTGTTGTGTTTTTATTATTTATTTATTTACATATATTTTTTGAGACGCAGTCTCGCTCTGTCACCAGGCTGGAGTGCGTGATCTCAGCTCACTGCAACCTTTACCTCCCGGGTTCAAGCAATTCTGCCTCAGCCTCCCAAGCAACTGGGGCTACAAACGAGTGCCACCACGCCCAGCTAATTTTTTGTATTTTTAGCAGAGATGAGGTTTCACCATATTGGCGAGGCTCATCTTGAACTCCTGACTTTGTGATCCACCTGCCTTGACCTCCCAAAGTGCTGGAATTACAGGCGTGAGCCACCATGCCCAGCCTTGTCGTGTTTTTAATGTGTGTGTCTGTCCTCTCTCTCCATCTTGCCTCTGGTACTGTGACAGCAAGGACTGTCACTCCGCCTTTTGAACCCTCAATGAAATAACAAACTGATTCTGATTCTGACTAAAATCTGAATTCATGCTAATGTCCCCAGTGGCGACGGAACAATTTAAAAATATTTTCTCTTTTGTAAACAAACTGTTATGAATCCTAATTGCTTATTTAAATAAGGAATTCTGCCTTGATAGCCATCTTTAAAATAGGAAAATGTGTTTGCCAAAAAACTGTGTTTGCATTTTCTCCAGTTTCTAATTTATGCTGCGCAACTAACAACAGCGGCATAATTTACGTGCTAATGTCTCCACTGAGGAAGAAGTCTCTACACAAACAACCTTTGCGATTGAAAGCTAACTAGTAATAGGATGCATGAAATTGCTAATTATTCATCCCTCACGGTCAGCCTTAACTGGAGTTTCAGAATTTCCATGCAGTCAGATCTATACATCCAGAAAATTGGCACCGTGAGGTATCAGCTAATGTTGGCACATCTGGAGTCACTGTGCTCAGTCATAACCTTTGCTGGGGGAAGAATGTTTGCATTTGAAAACGCAGATACTCTCATTCTTGTTAGACTAATTTAAAAATGTTTTTCTTTCAAAATAAAAAAAATATATATATATATTTTTTTTTTTTGAGGCGGAGTCTCACTCTGTCGCTGGGCTGGAGTGCAGTGGCATGGTCTCAGCTCACTGCAACCTCTGCCTCTTGCATTCAAGTGATTCTCCTGCCTCAGCCTCCTGAGTAGCTGGGACTACAGCTACTACACCCGGCTAATTTCTGTATTTTTAGTAGAGATGGGGTTTCACCATGTTGGCCAAGATGGTCTCAATCTTTTGACCTCATGATCCACCCACCTCAGCCTCCCAAAGTGCTGGGATTTCAGGCATGAGCCACGGCATCCACCTCCTATTTCATCAAAGAAAAAAAATTTATAACAATGATAGCCACCATTTATTGTATACTCATAAGATACTGGATATTTTATGTGGGCTGGCTCCTTAAATATTTACGGTCACCCTATTAGATGCTTATTATTATTATTATTATTATTATTAGAGATGGAGTCTTGCTCTGTTGCCCAGATTGGAGTGTAGTGGCGTGATCTCTGTTCACTGCAAACTCCGCCTCCCAGGTTCAAGCAATTCTCCTGCCAAAACCTCCTGAGTAGCTGGGACTACAGGTTTGCGCCACCACACCCAGCTAATTTTTGGGTTTTTGTTTTGTTTTTGTTTTTTTTAGTAGAGACCGGGTTTCAGGCCAGTTGCAGTGGCTCATGCCTGTAATCCCAGCACTTTGGGAGGGCGAGGCAGGCAGATCACCTGAGATCGGGAGTTCAAGACAAATAGAGATGGGATTTCACTGCATTGACCAGGCTGGACTCAAACTCCTAAACTCATGATCCATCCGCCTCAGCCTCCCAAAGTGCTGGGATTACAGGCGTGAGCCACCATGCCCGGTCCATATTATTATCTCCATTTTACAGAGATGGAAGCTGAGATTTAGAGGACTTAACTTGCCTAAGGTCATGTGGCAGAATTAGGATTTAAACCCAAGCCTATCAGACTCCAAAACTCAATTGCTCCTTTCATTTCACCATGCTGTCTCTCCAAGAAAAATACAAAATGGATTTGTAATTTTTTTGTAGAGATTCGGGTCTTGTTATGTTGCCCAGGCTGGTTTTGAACTCCTGGCCTAAAGTGATCCTCCCACCTCAACCTCCCAAAGTGCTAGGATTACAGGCATGAGCCACCACACCCTGCTCACAAAGTGATTTTTTTTAAAAATAGGGGTTTCAATGTTTATGGTTCGTAAGATTTGCATATAACATTTATATCTAAGTTCTGGCAAATCTCTATGACCAGCCAAGAACAATAAGAATCACTCACCTGCTGTTTGTCCTTCTTGTGCAGGGTCAAGGTGGAAGGTCCAAGGACTGAGAAAGACCCTCGAAGGCATCCACTTCAGTTCTCCATTCCTTTCCTAGAGACTGATCAGGAGTTGGGCTTCAGAAGGCGCCCCCTGGAAGGTCTTCGCAGCCTCCCGCTAGAGTCAAGAATGGACATGTTCAACTTGGATATGATCATCAGTGACCCAGCTGCAGAAGCCAGCAGGGCTGGGAAGAAGCAGCTCAGAGGCGTTCAGAACCCCTGCCCATCTGCCAGAGCCGGACCCCGGCATAAGCCCCTTAACATAAAGGACAAGATATCAGAATGGGAGGGAAAGAAAGAGGTGCCCACTCCTGCACCCAGCAGGAGAGCAGACAGACAGGAGGATTATCTGCCGTCCTGTCTGGTGGAGAGGAGGAGAAGTAGTGATGGGGTGAGAACTCAGGTCACAGAGACTAAGAATGGAATGAAGCCAGAAACAGAGAGCACAGAGAAGGAGAGAAATAAAGGAGCAGTGAAAGTCGGGGGACAGGACCCAGAGCCTGGGCAAGACCTGCGCCAGCCAGACCGGGAAGTGGATTCTAGCTGGGGCCGAGGCCGAGAGCCAAGACTTGGCAAGCTACGCTTTCAGAATGATCACCTCTCAGTGCTGAAGCAGGTCAAGAAACTCGAGCAGGCTTTGAAGGACGGGTCGGCAGGGCTGGATCCCCAGTTGCCAGGGACCTGTTATTCCCCACACTGCCCACCTGACAAGGCAGAGGCGGGGCCCACCCTTCCTGAGAACCTGGTAGGCGGGAATGGCTCAGAAGTTAGCCAGAGGGTCCACTTCTTGGACCTGGAAGGCAGGGAGCCTGCCCCCGAGGCTGTGGAGGACAGGAAAGGTTCATGCAGAAAGCCCTGGGACCGGAGCCTTGAGAATGTGTACAGGGGCTGGGAGGGCTCCCTCACAAAGCCCTTCATCAACCCCCCGCCAAAACCCCGGAGAACGTTCAAACATGCTGGAGAAGGGGACAAAGAGGGGAAGCCTGGCATTGGCTTCAGGAAAGAGAAAAGAAACCTGCCTCCTCTGCCCTCTCTACCTCCCCCACCTCTGCCCTCCTCTCCCCCACCTTCCTCTGTGAACAGAAGACTGTGGACTGGGAGACAGAAATCCAGTGCAGACCACAGGTAGGTGCTGGTGTGCCCGGGCAGAGCATCACCACCTGACGCTCTTAGTGCTTTATGTCCCATCATAACTGTCTGTTCTCAGCTGAATTATTTGTTTCATTAAACTGATGGATCCTGTAGTCCAGAGGGTTCATAGCTTAAGATACTTTGTTAATTAACCTGGAAACTTGGTAACTGTTGCATGTATTTTGTGTTTGTTCTCAGTCCTCAAAAAAGAAGACTATTTGCTTTTTAAAAATTAGCCTTTATAGGCTGGGTGCAGTGGCTCACACCTGTAATCCCAGCACTTTGGGAGGCCGAGGTGGGCAGATCACGAGGTCAAGAGATAAGATCATCCTGGCCAACATGGTGAAACCCTGTCTCTACTAAACATACAAAAATTAGCTGGACGTGATGGTGTGCACCTGTAGTCCCACCTACTCGGGAGCGTGAGGCAGGAACCCGGGAGGCGGAGGTTGCAGTGAGCTGAGGTCACGCCACTGCATTCCAGGCTGGTGACTGAGCGAGATTGTCTCAAAAAAAAAAAACCTTTTAGATGTAATAAGGACTTGGAATTGGGGACAGTAACCAAGAGTTAAATGAAGGACTCATGTTAACTCTGGCAGTCTACAATCTGCTAGTCCCTGCTAACTACCAGTGCTTGAATTTTTCTTGGTATGGGCTTTAGAAACACATTGCCTGGCATCTACACTGGCCCTATCATTGTCTATCTATGTAACCTTAAACAAGTTATTTAACCTCTTAAAGCCTCAGCCTTCTTCTTTAGATATGTGAATGCTTGCACTGTGAATATTTTATAACATTAAAATAACACATTAAATAATAAAGCATGTTAATGCTTAAAAATAAAAGCTAGGGGTGGTGGTTCACGCCTGTAATCCCAGCACTTTGGAAGGCCAAGGCAGGTGAATCACAAAGTCAGGGGTTCGAGACCAGCCTGACCAACAAGGTGAAAACCCATCTCTACTAAAAATACAAAAAAATTCGCTGGGCATGGTGGCGCACGCCTGTAATGCCAGCTACTCAGGAAGCTGAGGCAGGAGAATCGCTTGAACCCAGAAGGCAGAGGTTGCAGTGAGCTGAGATCGCACCACTGCACTCCATCCTGGGTGACAGAGCGAGACCCCGCCTCAAAAAAAATTTAAAAATAAATAAATAAATAATAAAGCAAAATAAAATCTGGGCTTTGAAAACAATGTTTCTATTTTGCAGCCTAATCTCTAGTCCGTTTCTGTAACATACGAGTTGGTTTGATACCCACTAATCTAAGAAACCAGCTTTAGAACAAAACTCCTCAGAACACTTGTACTTTCTTTCATCACTTCACCTCCTATTTTCTCTTGACCCACCCCGTTGAGCTTTGGGAACCTCCTCCTAAAACTGCCCTGGCCCAAGGCCACCAGTAACCTCCATCTGCTAAATTCAGTTGCCAGCTCTCCATTCTTTTCTTAATTGGCCTCTCTCAGTATTTGAGGAACACCTGTTGACTCACTTCATCTTGAAATACTTTCTTCGTTTGGCTCTGGGTCACCCATGTCCCTGGAAATCCTGCTTCCCTGGGTCCTCTGGGTTCCATCCTTTTCTCCTTCTATCTGTCAGAGCACACCCTGAACCCATCCCCACCTCAGCCCAGGGCCAGACCTGAGACTTTTCTTCTCCATCTATACTCGCTCCCTAAATGATGTCATTCAGGCCCATGGCCTTAAATGTCAAGGTCATGCTTATGATTCCCAAATTTAGGCATTCAGCCCCAACTCCCTCCCCCAGCTTAAGATTTGTGTGGTCATCTCCTGCTTGGATCTCCACTTGGTTGTCTGACCATTTGTACCTAACGTGTCCAAACCTAAATTCTCCTTCCAGGCCACCAGTAACCACCACCTCCTCCTAAAATAATTGTCATCCTACTAAACAGCATCCCCCTTTGTTTAGCTGCTTTAGGCCACAAACCTAAAAAGTCATCTCTGATTCCTCTCGTTTGCACATACCCCTTCCTAACTCAACACCAAGTCCTTTGGTTCTAGTTTCAGAACTTTATCCCAAATCTGCCCACATCTCCTCCACTGCTACCATCTTGATCATCTTGGATTCACCTCCCACCCCCAGAACATTCCTCCCTCAGCAGCCAGAGGAGTCTTCTCAAAATAGAAATTAAATTATAAATTCAGTCTTGTCACTCCGCACTCCACATGGTCTGTCATGTAGGATGATTCTTTTGGCTGTAAATTGCATAATTTCTTTTTTTTTTCCATTTCCCCCTGCCCACAAATTGCATGATTTCTTATGTTCTCTTCAAGGGGAAAAAAAGTTTGCATATTCTAGAATTTATTTGTATATATATGTACATATATATAGTAAGAAATTTATAAGTTTTTCCCAGTTTACAAATAATGCTATGATAAAGAGCATATAGCACTACTAGTCTTGCTACTTACTAGCTGTACGACATTGGACAAGCCACTGAATTTGCGTTGGCCTCATTTTACTTATCGGTAAAGTGTTGATAATTATAGTAACCACTTCACAGAGTTGTAAGATTAAATGAGTTAGTATGTGTAAACATAAACTTACTACAGAGCCTGTTCAATATGTTATATGTGTTAGGTGTTTTTTCTCTGGCTCCATTCTGTTTAGTTAATTAGGCGATTTCTTTTCCAGTATCAAACTTTATTTTAACTTCATAATGTATTATTATTATGATTATTACTTTGAGACAGAGTCTCGCTGTGTCGCCCAGGCTGGAGTGTGGTGGCACGATCTCGGCTCACTGCATCCTCCACCTCCCGTCTCAGCCTCCCGAGTACCTGAGATTACAGATGTGCACCACTGCCCGGCTACTTTTTTGTATTTTTAGTAGGGACAGGTTTTACCATGTTGTCCAGGCTGGTCTCAAACCCTTGACCGAAAGTAATCCACCTACTTCGTCCTCCCAAAATGCTGGGATTATAGGCGTGAGCCCCAATCCCAGTCCGTAATGTATTTTAATATCTAGTAGGGCTTATAGAAATTTCTTAATGTTACTAATAGTCAGTTGATCCTCTTAGACTTCCTGTATATACAATCATGTCATATGCAAAAAAAAAAAAAACCTTTTGTCCCTCTCCTTTTTAGTAATTATAAACCTCTTGTTTATTTACTTATTTTTTTTTCCAAAAAATGTCTTGAGCATTTCTGCCTGTTTTTCTTAATGTTCTATGTATTACTGTCAAATTTCAGATACACAACATATGTGGGGGTTTTTGTAATTAATATGTAATTATTTGGCATGCTATGTATTTGCTATGTTTACTTCTGTCTTTTCTCTTTTTGATGCAATTGTTAATGTAGTCTTTTTTCTCATATGGTCTTTATATGTAAGAAAACTACTTATTGTGTGTGTGTGTGTGTGTGTGTGTGTGTGTGTGTATATATTTTAAGACATCCTAAAGAAATTTCTTACTATTTCTAATAGTCTGTCAGTTGATTCTCCTGGGCTTTCTATGAATATAATCATATTGTCTGCAAAAAATCCTCATTTTACCTTTTTCTTTTTAATTTTTCCTAATTCTCTTACCACATGGCACTGGCCAAGACTCCAGAACAGTGTTAAATCATAGTGCTGAAAGCAGTATGCAGCCTACCTCACCCCTAACTTTAACGGTAATGCGTCTAGGGTTTCACTCGAAGGCACTCTTATTTGAGATGTGTTTATATGCTATCAAGTCATGTCCATTTATATTTATTTTTTTCACTTAGAGATTCGATTTTTGTTAAAGTACTTTTCAGAAACTCCAGATGATCATGTTTCTTCTCCTTTAGTCCATTCATAGTGAATTTATATCTTAATATTAACCCATCCTTAAATTTAGGGTATGAACTCCTATTCGGGCCTGGTTTATTATTCTGTTAATGTATTACTGAATTTTATTTGCTAATATTTTAAGATTTTGTGTCAGTAAATAAATGAGACTGATCTATACTTGGCTTTTATTGCACTATCTTTTTTTTTTTTACAGAATACTTACAGGATGATTGCACTATCTTTACCAGGTTTGGTTATCGGTGTTACGGGAGGTCTGTAGAAGAGCTTAGATGCTTCCTTCTTTATGTTCTGAGAAAGTCTAAATCCATCCAGTAATAAACCCTTTCTCCAACCAGTGCCAGAGCCCGGGTCCCGAGTACTCCCAGACTTCCCTGCTCCTGCCCAGAGCTTCCCACAGCAGCCTTTCCACACCGCTTCTGGCTGTTCCTCCAAGGAGGCCCACACCCCCAGGGGCAGGTTGGTTCTGGGAAACTGGAATCCTTCATCTGTGTCATCACTGGGCAGGCCAGTCAACCTGGGGAACAGTTATTCCCATTATCTTTTCTCTCTTAACTACCATCTGCGCTTTTCAGTCTTTCAGCGTTTTCTTTATAACCAGCTAAAGTTACTTATTTCAGTCCAAAGATGAAATTTTTCTTGGCCAGTTTGAACATGGTTGCATCAGCTATGTTTTAACAATTTTGGCTTTGGGTTTTTCATTTTATTTAAAATAGTACAATGGAGGTGATTAGGGCAAGATGTTCACTTTCTACTCTTAAAAAAATAAAGTCTACTTTTTATTGTGGTCCTATCTCTTAAAAATAAAAAGGACTCTCCCATGAATTTGGCAGACGTACCACCCTCTCTGAGGCAGGAAAGCCAAACCAAGGTTGAAGAAAGAAATGATTAAGGATTTGGAGGTTATGAGAGTTTAGAATTTCATGGCCAGGCTGTGTGTGCCTTAGAGAATGTATTCAGCTTGTTTTCATAGGCCAATTAGTTCACCTCCTTAAGAGCCAAACCAGTGGACTCAGATCCTCGGTTTAAAAAGGCTACTTTTCTTCTCTTCCTATTTCTCTCTCTTCTATTTTTCTTTTCTCCTCTTCTTTTTCCTTCCTTTTCTCTCTCCGTTTCTATTTGCTGTCTTCTCTCTTCTTTCTTCATTTCTTTAAAGCCCCAGGAAATTAAATGCAAGGACGTCTGCCTTCAATCCTAAAACGGA